CTAAGAGATCATCTGAAATGGAGGAAGTGTTTTGAGAGCATAGTCCAGATAGCCAGAAGACTTCACAACACAGGATTTAGAGCACGCTAGCCAAACCCTTCACACTACCACCACACACGCACACGCAGTTAATAGAGCATTTCCACCATTTAACATTGGCTAAGACAAAAGAAGAAGAAGACGACCACAGAATAAAGTAATGGGCCATTAAGAGTTCCAAACCATGCAGGTATCCAGTATTCCTGCAGGGATCAGGACTCAAGTCATTTTGTTTAAACAATATTTAAAAAGCAACAAACATGAGAACCGTGAATGATATAATTGGTATTTATTGGAGTAATGAGAAGCAGTGAAGTTGAGACATTTGGTCTGGTGCCTCACAACACTTCTGAGTCATTCCAGTGTCCTAGGATAACTCTCACCCCCCATAACATCATATATTTGGCAAACACCTCAAGCGCCTATGAGGTGGGAGACTGCTTCATTAGGCTCGGACTGAAAACACTGAAGTTCTCAGAGAAGCTTCAGTCCGAGGAAGTCTGTAATAACAGTCAAGCAGGCCATGCTTGTGCTCACTCAAGAAGCCTTCTCCCTAATACTGCGGGGCAAGAATTGACAACCATCGTGCCAACAGCATTGAAGAATGGGTGCGACAGTTGATTCACCCTAAAGGACGCAAGATTCTGGCACGATTCAATAGACACAACCCACAAAGGAGTATCTTGTGCCATCACTGTGTATCAATAATAGTTCAGGCTGAAATGTAAATAGGCAGCAGAAGCGGAACCCTCATCACATGAAAGAGAAACTAAAACCACAGAGAGAAACCAGAACCAGATGCAGTCACCATTTTTACCTGCATCCAAGGCACCCTTGTAATGGTGCTGAAGAGAACTCCAGTTAATTCCTCTCCCCCTCTCTTTACCTTGGGAGCATAGTCTAGTTTTCCCAGGTATTAGGACTACACAGGGTAGGACTTTCACAAATTAACAGCTGCTAAACACTTTGAGTCTAAGACATTGAATTATTACACTCTATGTTCCACTTAAATCAACAACAAAGCAGAAGAGGGATTAGAAGTACTCACCCAATGTATTCAAAGCTGAAAGGAGGTAAGAGAAATTAAAAACCTAGAACCCTCTCAAACTCATTCTGGATTCTACTCACCGAGGATGCACTGCTACAAGACCTGGTCCTGCGTTTCCGACAGTGATGCTGGTGCTTCTTTGCTCGCTGGTGTTCTCTGCCCCTCGATCTCCGCCAGTGTCGTGAGTGAGTAGCATAATAATCCTCTCCAAAAGAAGGACTTCGCTCTTCAAACCGGTAGTTGTCGCTGTCCCGTCTCTCTCGGTACCTCCTGTGGTAAGGCATCCTGTCCTGGCTGCATTACAAAGAAGAACCCATTTATAAATCTGGGAAGAAAGGGCACACTGTTCAAAAACTACAGCACAGCTGCAAGCAAATGCAACCTGACGATGCATGTTCTTATTCCCTCTGCCTGGCAGCAGAGAACATACCAAAGCAGTTCTTGCTCAGAGCTTTGAGCCTAAGTAACTCAAATTGAGAAGCTACAGAGAAGGGCAAAGGTGAACAGGGGTACAACAGGGCTTCTGTATAAGGAGAAGCTCAACAGAGACTAGGATTTTCCAGCCAAGAAAAGAAACTACTGAGAGGAGGTATGAGAAAAGCCTTTAAAATCATAAGCTGAGGATGTATATAGAGATTTACTATTTACAGTCTCGCACAATCCTAGAATTATGGGACAAGCAATGAAATTAATAGATAGTTGGTTTCAAACAAAAGGCAGATTCCCTCCCCCCGCACCCTCCAGTGTATAATTAGCTCGTGGAACACCCTGCCACATGATGTTGTGGAGGTGGATAGTTTAACCAGGTTTACAAGAGGATTGGACAAATTCATGCAGGATAAGTCCCTAAGCATGTATATTAAACACAACAGTTAAGGGTGTAACCTCAAAATTAGGACTCCCTATGCTTCTGCAAGCTAGAAGCTGCAGGGCGGGAGGGGCAAAAAGTGGATCAGTCTGGATATTCCCTGCTTAAGTACTCTTTCCTTTGGCATCTACTCCGCTGCTGTGAGAGACATTATACTAATTGGATAGATTGCTTGGTCTGACCCAGCATGGCAAGTTTTCACATTCTAAAACAAAAAGGACTTCTAAGGAACTATGTGGCAATATCATATTTAGATAATAGGGGGCATAGCATTTGGAGCTGGTTAGTACATGTCTGTACTTACCTAGGTACTCATATAAAACTCCTCACCATGCTATATGGACATTTTTCTCCCCAAGCCTCCCTCATGGCTTTTCTGTTTCAAGCAGAACTACGGATTTTTTTGTGTGTTTTTTTTTTTTAATGCAAGGAGAACTGAAGCACAATGACTCACCCAGGGAAGTGCAGGATACTTGGGATACAATGAGACCCAATCATGATCAGTGCCTGGATACCACAACATCTCTTACTAAGGACTCAGGACACTGCAGCTTAGAGTACTGTACAAGTGCACACACTATCTCTGAGAGCCAAAAAGAAGTTCAGTCTATATAGTCTAGTTCCTGGCCTCTGGTGACAATGGTCTATAACACCAGTTATAAAGTGGTTAAGGTGGATGTTAGGCCATCCTGTTATCTCACTGTGTAACTCAGTGCCGAAGGATTTTAGACAGTCCTTTCACCGTTGCAAGATAAATGCTTGCATAAGGGAAGTCTTTATAAATCAAAGCTTTGATTTCAGTAAATGGTGCAGAGTAACAGGAGTGTTTTACAAGGTCCCTCTTCTGGGTTCATTCCAAAGAAGATGTGGGAGCTGTTATAGCTCCAAGCTAGAGCCACGGCTCTTTATTTCCAACTGTAGCAACTCATGCTTTTAGCTCTGAAGACGCCCAGTATTTTGCCAAAGACGGTGACAGGCATATTTGGCTTTTCAAATAAATTCACTGATCATGTGCTATCACCACTTTCAAAAGTGGTATACATTACTGGACAAAAAGGCAGTATTTTGGTAGGAAAGCTCACAGTTCATACAACTGGACCATGTACTACATTTTACACAAGGTGAGCATATTTTACATCTTAAGAGCAAAGGTTACTAGGTCAAGGCTAGTACTTTTGGCATGTAACTGACTGCAATTTGATTACATTAGATGATGCGATTGTCTGCATTATTTAATCATTATTCTGGGTGCCACTCATCTAGGCTGGGAGGGGATCTATTTCATTTTCCTCTGTACTGAGGCTGTCAGCAAGGCAGCCAACTATTGCCAAACAGGTTAGCGATTCTCATAATGTAGGCACTTCATTCAATGCTGGACCAAGACCAATTTATTTTATGAAGGCTGCCAAACAGATGGCAATAACTTTAGGTCACTACTGAACTTAGCCAAAACTGAAATACAGCTCCAACCCCAACCTCAGTCCTGTAGGCAGGCCAAAAAAACATTATCTACAACTTTCCCCATTTGCTAACTCTTTAGAGATGCAGAGAAGATTCAGGGGTAACTAGGCAGCACAAAAGTGTATAGTTACAAACACTTAAAGAACCCACACCAAGTCTATATGGAGATAGTCATGATGTGAAACTAGGTTTTCATCAGTTAAGGTGGTTTCTTCATCCAGAAGATCACTATTCAATGTAGTCCAAATGAAAGAATAGCGAAGCTGGAGTAACTAATCTTTAGCTGCACCTGCACAACCTTGTCCATTCAGCAAGTGTATTCTGCTGTGCATTAATCATGTCTTAGCTTTCCATGGACTTCAATCCAAGGTTAAGAATGAAAGCACAGCCAAGAAAGTGGCAAAACAAGAGTTAAAGAATGTAATATTAGGCTAGGTATTCTTCTGCTGTACCTGTAAAACTGACAGGCCTGCACCTGTGCTAGGCATCTCATCTCAAACACTCAGATGAGAATCAAAGGTTTATCCGAGAACACAACAGCCATCTAAGGCAGACACCTGCCCACTCCACAGCAACTGCTTAGAAGACAGTCCAAGCCTTTGATAAAGCCTGCTCTCACCTTCGAGATCGTGATCTCCTTGAAAGATCCCTGCGAGGTGGGTATCTCAATCTGCCTTCGTATTCTCTGCTGCGAGACCTCTTCCTCTTCCATTTGTGATTCATGTAGGTCTCTTGCTCCGGGGATCGGTATCTCTTACAGTGATGCATCTGGGGCGCAATAAGGAAGGCACTTGAGTAAAAGGTATCAACTGGAACAAACTGTTGACAGTTTGCAAGTCTCATGGAGCTCCCTACTTATTAAGTGAAGAAGGTGAAAACAAAAAGCCATGAGGAGATGAGAGAAAGAGCAACAAAAGTCATCACCAACATTACTAATTACAGTTATAAATAAAGAAGTCTCCGCAATGTGTGCAACAGCAGGGAACAGTTGCACATCACCCTTTTTTCCAATCTAATACCTATTAACACCTACAACTACTCCCACTGAAAAACAATCAGAATATTTTTCTGGATTTTTCCACTCTCCACTGAGATTTCACTGTTTCCCTCATGTATTCAGCGCTCACACCATTTGCAAATACTTTAAAAGCTAGAGCTATACAAAAGTATTTTAAGCAAATAGGACATGTGATTGTAAGAGTACAGGGGTGGGGATAAGAATCTGGAACTAATTTAACTCCATTTATAAATGGACTAAATTAAATCGAGTGTTCCTTTACTACAATTAAGCTCGGTCTTAATCAGCAGACACACAGGTAGACCAGATGGCCTTTGTGCAGACCTTGCTTTTTCATCATTCGTTCGAACTCATCCTGTGTTAATAATGCCTGGAAAGCCAGCACTATCAAAAGACATGAAATTAAAAAACATGGGGGCTAGAATAACGGCCCAATTAATGGCCTGTGCCCCCATGTTCCTCTGTCCTGCTCCAATATCACTAACTAGAAATGCCCCCAAGAGGATTCCCGTGCAAGAAGAAATCTTCTGGTGGCGCAGAGCAGTCACGGTACCTACTGCATCTGCCTTACTTGGGAGAAGTAAATCTCACAGAAAGGGATGTGGCCTGGATACACCTACACAAGGGATTCCTGGCAGCTTAAGCAGCCTTGTGCAGTTCATGCACGAGCAGATCTTCTGCTCTCACTTCACAACTCCGTCAGCACCAGGTATCAGATGGCAACTGAGCATAGAAGTCATTTCAGGAAACCTGGACCCAATTTTGTTTGAATGTAATATCACAATTATCAGTTAATACGTTAATACCCAAGAAAAGAATGCAAACCTCTTAAACCAGCAGCTCAAGGTTTAAGATACTAAACCTGTACTACAAAACTACCACGCATTAAAGAAAAAATGCCCACCAAAACATTGTTTAAAGAAAAATCCCATTGAAAAGTCAGTTTAGATTCAAACCCAGAAGTGTCCAAACCCAAATAGCATAGCACTGTTATAATGTAAATAGGCATTAAATGAAACTACTGTCTGGGGCTTGTAGTTCTGCACCGTAGAAAATGAAAGTCAGTCAGATGCAGAAAGGTCAAGCTTTGTTTAAAAGAAAAACACACACGTCAGGATCCCTTTATGGAACGGCTTCTTAACCCGTGTCTCTCCGCTGCCTTGTATGGATTGTGTGGCTCTCTCCTGCTCCCTTATTTCTAATTCATTTGCCCTTTTCTGTCCACCTCCCCTTCAAGGCATCCTCCCCTCTTTTCCTTCAGGGTGGGCGGCCTTTACCAGCTCCTCATCACATACTTGCCTCTCAACCTTCCTTGGCCCCCATATCCAGTGAATGTCCCTCCATCCAGGAGACCTGGGCATTGCTTTCACTAGAAAGCATCAGTTTTGTTCCTGCAGGCAGCAACAGAGGTGGTCAGTGGCCAAGCTACGCCACTACCGCCCCACAAGCAAGCGCCAGCCAAGAGAGGGAAAAACTAAGCAAGTAATCCCTGTGCCCACAGCTTTCCCTTCCTTTCAACTACATGACTCCCCCATTTTTTTGCCTGCTTCCTCATTTGCCCTAGGCGCATCACAAACACAACCCAAATCACCACGTGCCAAAGAGGCTTCTAGTTTTTGCTTTGACAGACGCCAGCCAGCAGATCCATTTTCAGCACAAAAAACCTTTTACGAGAGACCTTAATCCTCAACGCAACCCGCCACCGCGCACGGACACTTGATCCTGGCCTGGAAGCGCCAAAGGACTTTGACCCATTTGTATCCTTGACGTGGCCGAAAGTTGTTGAAGAGGACTCGGCTGCCAATCCAAAATTAAAGCCCTCATGATCCCTCCCCACCACAATGACTTTTTACAGTGCTGGCAGCATCTCACCGCAACGAATGCCTCGGCCCTCCACAGCCAGGACCCGGCTCTGCTGGTGCAGGAGGGCTCGGGATGCGCAATCCTCATCGGTACCAACCCCTGCCGTCCCGCAGGATTGGTGCGACGCGCGCACGCCCCCGGGAGCATACGCAAAGCCAGCCCGAGTTTGCTTTTGGCAGGCTGCCCAGGCCAGTCGTTTGTCTGGCGAGGGAAAGGAGAGCTCCCGTCGGCCCTTGAAAACAAAGGGAATTTCCCCCCTCCC